AGGCTCTCGCCAAGGAAATGTCACGCTGGCAAATAGTGCACTAGCCCTGGCGAGTGCACTCCTAAGCACTAGTGAAGTGTGCGCAAGGTCAGCATCCCAGCACCATCTCACCAATGCACCCCCCGTGCTATGTCTCCATGTCTCCAGGAAGACTTCTCATGTGGATTGGAGCATTCCAAGATGCATTGTTCCCCAAGTGTTTCCTGATCAGGTACTTAACCTGGCGAATTCCTTCCTAAAGAAGCTGACCAAATGCCTCACAAAGCTTACTTAGAAACCAAGCCAGTATACAGCCCATATTCTTAACCTCAAGTAGAAAATGATATATGTGTACAAATAGGATGAATAGATATAGTAGACCATAACCTTTACGGAGATATGTTACATGGCACAGGCAGCACAAAACATACTCCAGTTATGTCATATATACATTTATAAGCACCCCCCCATAAAGCTTATGGGGTACACTGTCACAGGGGGGAAGAGGGGGATTAATGTCAGGCTGTCCCCCTCTCCCCTGCTCCTGCCCCCCACTTACCCCATCTCTATTGAGCAGGGGGATGACACAACAGGGCTCAGGACGGAGGGAGCTTGCTGGCAGCAGCTGCTGTCTCAACTTGCTGATCTACTTAAAAAGGCAATGTACTTAGAGTGGGGTCAGCGTACTTAAAGGGGCAATGCACATCTCTCTCACACACAGGGTGTGTGTCTCTGTCTCTATCTGCCATGCTGTCTCCCCTCCCTCCATTTGTGCTGCCTTGTAGAGTGTGAGGCTACACTAACAACAATGTGTTAACCCTTGAGGGCTCAACCGAGTGCTAGTTCATCATTTAGCAGTAAGGCATTCCCTGGGAAATATCCCATCCTCTGACTCCACCACCTCAACCAAGCTTCACAATCATCATTGCTGTGTATGGTACTAAATTGTTCATTTAAAACTTATACTGTGTGTGTATATATATAAATATATAATAGTCTTTTCTCTGGTGAAAAAAATTTCCCTGGAACCTAACCCCCCCCATTTACATTCATTCTTATGGGGAAATTGGATTCGCTTAACATTGTTTCACGTAAAGTTGCATTTTTCAGGAACATAACTACAACGTTAAGCGGGGAGTTACTGTATTTCTGAATGGCTCATCATATCACCCTTTGCCACAGGGGCTGGAATTCTTAACATCCTCTCTGTGCAGTTTACTCACTTCCATAGGGATTCCTTAGCTATGTGTGCAAACACCTCCGCACAATACGTCAGGCTTAAACATCTGCATGAACGCACTCATCATGTAACACAATGCTGCAACTCCCCCAATTCCCCTGACGGCTTAATGTGCCAACAAGATCCGGCTCCCTTTCATGGCTTCACACCATTTGTAAATCTCAACATGTTCAGGCTGTTAGCCACTTGACATGTCTTTCACACCCCTAGGCACATGGAGACACATGTCAGAGACTATCCTATTAGCAGGGTGTTAACACACGTCAAAGGCTTGTCTCTGCCCCTTTATTTCACAAGACTATCTACTAAAAATGCCCTTCAGAGTTCACACAAATGAAGCATCAGGACAGAGCCCTGCTGAGATGTACCGCTGGGCTCTAGGAGGTACACTCAATTGTAACCTTAAGAGTTTGGGAGGGGGGCAAGACAGCAGTATGATGAGGGTGACAAAAGTGCCAGAGAAAGAGCATTTGTTCTATTGCTTGTTTTATATTGTACAGAGATTCTTCTACCATTTTCAAGAGATGGGAGCAGAGTGGACCCCCCACCCCAGTCTGAAGCCCCCGGTGATGTAAGGCCCCAATTCAGTTGTCTATCCCTACTCAGAAAGGCACTGCTGTGCTTAAATGGTTTGCTCTACAGGGATGGATTTAAGTCAGTTCTTCAATGTTTTGCTGAATTTGGGGCTAGGAGAGTTCAGACTGGGAGTAGAGGGGGATATCATGTTCATGGCACTACATTAGATAATAAAACACCCTTGCTGGATGGTGACAACGTAACACTGTGCTATTTCTTAGAATTCACCAGAACCCCAAAAACAGAATGAGACAAAACAGGCTGCTCCTTAAAATAGAGTGACACAATTCACCTCACCTTCTTTTAATCTAGGTAGTCTGCAGACTGCCTCTGATCATACACTTCCCTACAGAGTCCCCTGCCTGCAAGCAGGACCAGGAAAAAAAACCCTGCATTTTAAGTAGTTTTCAATATACCACACAGGAGGGGACTAACAAATCTGCTATATTCTGGGTTCTGTTCCTGGTCCTGGATTCCAACTATGTGACTCAAAGATCTCTCTTGATGAGTGGAACCAGAACACGTAATCCAAACAGCCTCGGCCTTTCAGGTAGTTCTGATTTGATTTCAGAGAATTCTTCTGGCGCAACCAAGACACAAAAACATTCAGAATAGGGAGCAAAAGGGAAGAAATATCCAAATTCACTCCCAGTTTGTTCACATTTATACACACTGGGCCCTATTGTGGGGGGTAAGTGAGAACAGAATTTGGCTAATTAGAAAAATCTATCATCAAAATCTCCAGATTATAAGCAATATGTCGAATCCTTATTGATTTGTATATGGTGCAGTAATATAAGCCAGGTCACAGTATATAATGCAAGAAGAAAATGGCATACAGAGTATAGCTAAGGAGTAATAATTAGGATTTCTGACTTACATCATAATACAGGATAACAAATGTATAAACATTCTATATTCAATTATTCTTAATCAGGTTTATCGGATTCCTTTCCTGTTGAGGGCAGCAAAATAGAGCAACATAAAAAATGACTCTAAATTCAGTTCAGTTTGTTACAATCTGCAAAATGGTTCTTTTTATAAAGCCGCCAGATGTGCTCCAAATCAGGCCATTTTCAAACAAAAAATATTTGCATTATAGGCCTGTGGCAATTCCCATGTTTGCATGTGTCTGATGCAAAGAGTAAATTACACTGAAATGTGCTGAAAAGCTAATGTGAAATCAGCCAATCCAAACTTGCGACAGCGCTCCCATTTCAATGCCATGGAAAACTGTTCGCCAGTTGTGTGCAACAGAGACTTGTGGCTACACAGGGAAGGAGTAAAGCCCTAGGGTGCAATTTTCAAAGCTGAAGAAGGGACTTGGGGCCAAATTTTCAAAGGTCTTTAGGCTCCTAAATACCTTTGAAAATCTTCCCCTTGGATACTCAGTTCCCACTGATTTTAATTCAATGGATGGGAACTGTCTACCAAATGAAAAGGCTAATTAGAGACAAAGGATGATGTTGTGATTGAGGCGCTGGGCTAGGACTCAGGAGACCTGGGTTCAGTTCTGGGCACTGTCACAAATTTTGGGGCTGATTTTCAAAGGCATAAATGGGAGGCTAGGATGACAGTCCAGAGGGAGTCTGTGCCTTAGTGTCTTTGAAAATTCCCCTCTCTTATTACAGCAGAGTCTAGAGGACACAGTCAGGAATGAACACCCCACTCTGCTAGGCGCTGTACACACACAATGAAAAGACAAGTCCCTGACCCAGGGGATCTTGCCATTTAGAGGAACCTTGGCCAAATCATCTAGGGTGGGCTATTCAAATCAGCCTAAGAGAGTTAGGTGCAAGTCCATTGACATGTACTGAGAGTTGGGTATCTAAGGGTACGTCTCCACAGCAGCTGGGAGCATGCTTCCCAGAGTGGGTGGTAGACGGACACGCGCTAGCTCACCTCGAGCTAGTGTGCTAAAAACAGCAGTGTAGCTGCGGCGACACAGGTGGTGGCTGGGACTAGCCACCCAAGTACATACCCAAGGCGTCTGGCAGGTTTGTTCATGGGTGGCTAGCTACCCATACTATTTCAGCCACAGTGCTATGTTTAGTGCTAAATCGAGCAGAGCGAACTGACCTACCTTTAGGTTCCTCAGAAAATTCCAGCCTCAATGCTCAGTTCCCCATCAGTCATAATGGGGATAACATGCTTTCCTTGTCCCCACTCTTTGTCTGTCATGTCTCTTTGTCTGTACAGCGCCTAGCACAACGGGGACTTGAGCTTCACTGGGGGCTGTGGTTGCTACCCTGATTCAAATGGGGAACAATCAGGAGATTTACCCACGGTGAGCACGTTTTACAAACAGCAGAAAGTAAAAATAAATAAGAAAAGAAAATGAAGCTCCAGGGAAAAATCTATCCAAACTGACAAGCAGCCCTTTGAATGCGAATGCGAGCTCCAGCACTGCTCATTACAGGGAAAACCAGACACAAACAGCACTGTTTGCCCAATAGATGAAGAGAATGACAGGCGGCTCAGGGGAGATGAAAGGAACAGACAGGAAACTTTCGCTGCAGCCTATGGATGGGTGCAGGGGAGCGGGGTGTCAGGGAACAGCTCTACTGCTACCGGCTCATAAACAAAACCAGCATTAAACAAAACCCTCTGTAGGCAGGGCAGCACCTGCGCGGGCCACTGTCTTAAACCAAAAGGGAATGGCATTGGGGCCGCTGTTCAGCAGCCCAAAACCAGGCCTGATCCCAATGAGGCATCTCCAAACGCCAGGAGCAGCCGTGTGTGACACTGCACAGCGATAAAGGAGATGCTTGGGCTGTGCTATTTGAGTGAGTGAAGGAGGGAGAGGGGGAGCCAGGCAGGGCTAGGGAATGCTGGAGCAAAGGGATAGCTTACCAGGTGCCCAGGCCTGTGGAGGAACCCTGTCTCCTAATACAAGCCCAAAGGGCAGCCAATGAAACAGAAAGGCAGCACATTCACAGCTGACACAAGGGAATCCTGTTAACACAATGCCTTACTGACCTGTGGAACTCACTGCCACAAAATAGAACTCAGGCGAAGAGCTTAGCCGGATGTGAAACAGCATTATACATGTACATGGATAATGAGAATGCCGCACCCCCTCCTCCCCCAGTTACTTTAGATAGGGAAAAGGAGGCGATAGACTCTGCTTTGGAGCATGAGCTACCTGATGGGGGGACAGGAAGAAACATTCCCTATTCCATAATTGTGCATTGCAGGGTTTTACCTCTTCCTCTGATGCAGCTGGTGTTGGCCACTGTCACAGACAGGAGACAGGATTAGAAGGATCTTGGCTCTGATCCAGTCTGGCAGCTCCTATGTTCCTCTGAGCCTGGGTCAAGGGACAGTCCTGGCTTCATGTCTTGCTGGGGAAGAGTGTGGTGGAAGCCTCTGAGATGCCATCACTCTGCATCGGAAAGCAAATGCTCCATGGGCATGTTGGAGGGCAGCATCCCCAGCCACCCTAAAACAGCCTTTCTCTCAAAGCCACCCTCCCCCAACTCCTGTCTGATGGAGCGATGAGACGGTGAGGGGGACAGCATCAGATCTCACAGCTCCCCCTGTCGCAGAGTCCGCCTGCCCTCCCTCCCTAGCCAGGTGCTGCCCCCATCCTCCTTGGCACTGGCCCGGCCTTCACTCTCCAAATACAAGAGGAGGCTTGACATGCCCAACTACCCTGTCTGTACTTCCAAAGAGCACTAGACTTCGCCTTCAATCTCAGCGATCTTGCTTTGGGGAGGATCCTGGAGCCAGACGACAGAGGCCTTGCAAGCTGGGGATTGTTTCAAAGGGAGGGTGCTGCTGGCAGAGTTTGTTTGGGGCAGATCCCAGCTGGGGTGTCATATGCTATCAACATCTGGCAGCTGCAACAGGGACATCTGGGGCCAGCTTTGCAGCTGCCCTTTGCTCTGGCTGTGCCATAAGGAGGGTCTCAGTGAATAGCACCAGCACCGAGAGCCAAGTGCAGAACCAACTCTGCCAGCCTCAGGTCCTCCTTGGGGGAAGGGGATGTGGGGTGGGCTGGAGAAGGCGTGGCTGGGGGGGGCCTGCCAATTCTCTTGCAGCCACAACTCCCATGGAAGCCATCGCAGCAAGGGGCTCTGGAGAGGAGGGGGTTCAGGGATGCCCAGCCCTATGCCAGGGTCCAATCCGCCCCTAAGGTTGCCAACCCTCCAGGATTGTCCTGGAGCCTCCAGCAATTAAAGATTAACTTTAAATTAAAGATTATGTCATGTGGTGAAACCAGAATTGGCAACCCTACGCCCTCCACCCCCCGAGAATCGGCCTGTGCTTAGCCCCTGAACTGGCTTTGCCTCCTGGAGAGAGAAAGAGGGAGATTCTGGTCTCAGTTCCCCAGGTGTAAATCCGGAGTGACTCCGCTGAAGTTAATGGGGTTTACACGGTGCTGGGGAGAGCCAACAGCAGAATCTGCCCCACACTCCCCAGGATTGCGCTGGGAGCAGGGCGGAGGGGAGGCTCGATGCCCTTCCCAGCGCAGGGCCAGCCGGCGGGGGCTCGCTGCTGCCACGCGGGACCCGCCTCGAAGGGACGCGCGGCCCCGGCAGGCAGGAGAGAGGGGGCGGAGCGAGAGGCCGGCACGGGAGGGGCTGGGGCGGGCGATGCAGGAGCGGCGTGGCGGGGACCAGCCGCTCAGTGCCAGGGCTGATGCCAGGCGCGCAGGGAGCGCGCTGACCGCCCGCGCCCGCCGCTGCTGCCCGGCTGGAGGTAAGAGCGCGGGGCGGTCCGAGTCCGGGGTCTGTGCTGGGGACAGACGGGGAGAGCCGGGGAGGACGCCTGGCTCCGGTCCCCAGCTCTGCCACTGCGGGACGGGGCTGGCAGGTGCCCCGGGCGCTGCCTTCAGCCCGCGGCTCCTCGCGGCCCCTGGCTCCAGCCGCGCCCGGAGCTTCCCTTCGCAGCCCTCAGCTTTGCTCCGCGCCTCCCCAGCCTCCGGGCTGCGCGCTTGGAAAGGCGCTGGAGTTATCCCCTGGCGGGCCAGGCTTTGCCGGGGGCCGGCTGCGCTCCCCCGGGAGCAGAGAACGGGGCTGGTGTCCGATCGGCTGTCAAGAGTTGGAGGACGGGGGCAGAGTAGGTAGATCCACTCACCCACTCACTCCTCCCCTGCCTGAAGTGAGGCGTTACAGCTGACTTGTGTCTGCCCGACCTAGCCCAGAGGTTGCCCCGGTCCTGCCCCCTGCTATTTGGTCCTCCTGGGGCTGCCCAGGGATGAGTTACCCACAGCACAACACCCCCTTGCCACCCCCGATGAGATCTGACAACACCAGCAGCATTGATGCCCCATGGACCCAGGGGATAGACTCTTGCCAGGACAGCTAGCCAGCCAGCTCCACTTCCAAGGGACAGGCCGAGGGAGGCTGGGTGGAATAGTCCAAAACTTTTGCAAGCTCTTTAATAGGGGGTGAAGAGACAGAAGTGGCTACAGGATGCCACTGAACTGGGATGATGAGCCACGTGATTGGCCATGGTGCCCTCTGAGGGTGTTTGCAGGAGGCTGGAGAAAGAGACAGATATCTGGTCGGGCAGGGGGTGGGTGGGACTGGGGGGATCTTGGCTAGCTGGGGAAGGACTCTGTTCTTGGTGCACTTTAGGACAGGGGTGGGCAAACTTTTTGGCCTGAGGGCCACATCTGGGTATGGAAATTGTATGGCGGGCCATGAATGCTCATGAAATTGGGGTTGGGGTGTGGGAG